CCCCTCCCACCTTAATTCACCTCCCAAATACCACTGCTAATGAGTTTTTTTTACATTGTCTGCAGGCAATGTCCGAAAGTTTGCATCCCTACAGTCTCGAGCAGGAGCGAGGGTAATGAATACACAGGAACGACCTCATCCAGCACGTCAACAACCACCTGCTCCACCTCCAGGTCTTTAATCTATCTTACACTAACCCTATTGTCTGGTTTAAGGCGACACTCGGGGATGTGGGGGTGGAAGGGGAAAAGGCATCGAAACGATTCATCTGTATGTCCTTTGTTGTGAAGTCAACCGCTAAGTCCACAGATGGGTCCCATCCAGAGGCGTAGTCCACATTGATCCTCGTGCAGAGGTGTCACAGATGTCAATCATTCAGATTGGAAGGGTGAAATAAAATAATGACAAGCAAATCCAATGTTTCAGCAAAAAGAGAACCATTAAAGACCCTCCCCTAGTTGTGACGTGCCTGACAGTACCTATTGTAAAATTATTAGATATTTCCTCCTGCCTTTTATGCCAACGGGAAGGCTGATCTGCTCAAGAAAAATAACTTTCTTTCTTCGCTTTTAGTTGGCTGGAATATTGTTGCAGACTCGCCCTACCAAAATCTGTCCACTGACAAAGGTCCTGAGAATTCCACAGGCGGTAGGCTTGCCAGCGAGGTCGAAGAAGCCCCAGGATTACCAAATCCGTCTCAAGTCCACTTTGGCGCACCATACACCGGTATCTCGCCATTTCTATCCCCCATAGCAAGGAAGGAGTCCGTCGCACATGCGAGTGACACTGGTGTCCATGATTTGTAGGAAGTGGAAAAAGTGGTTTGACCCAATCACTCCAACGAGAAGGCGAATTTATTCCCCAACGCGGCAACGACTTGATGGCAGACAGTGGCATGGATGGCGGTGGTGACTTGCACTCCGTCACTTCCAGCGGCACCGGTCAGTAGAAGGAAGAACTGTTGGAGTCTATCACAATGACAACCACTTTATCACTCACCCACAAAACTCCGCTTTCTAAGATAAACAACAATAAAAGCCAACAAACAAATAATAAATATGCAAATAAAAACTATTATGGGTTAACTTGAAGTCTCATGCATGCCTTCGACTGGCTTCTTTCTCCATTTTTCGTTGTTTTGTTGTTGATATTGTTGTTGCTGTTGTTCAAGGTAGTGATCCGCTCGGCTTGAAGCGGTGTGTCTTTTTCCTCTCTGATACCACTAACATACTGACACAAATTGTAACAAACTAATTCCTCGAATCAAACAACCACCTAAACAACCAAGCCTTTTGCCCTAATATTGAGACGTAAATTTGGGTTT